TCATCACATGAAACGAGTTACTTGAATTATTTGAGCATAACAAACAGGTTAATGTAATGATGTTGAAATAAATTCAAGTTTATTGCACTTAACATTTTATAGTTTTGACCTAGTATCTGAAGATATAAGAAATTATTGTAAATGAATATAATATTCTAGGAAATTTTAAGTCATTAAGCTAGATTTAATGTGGAAATGTGAATAGAATTGGTTCAGCCAAAGTAATTTAAAAGTTCTGCTTAATTTGCTACATAAATTACTTACATATCTTTTTCTTTCAGGTGAAAGAAACTACTCCTCTGTAGATGCATATGAGCTCATTTTACAAATTATTGTTAACACATTATATCTAATTATATAGTCATAGGGGAGTTGACTTTCACAGCAGATTTATATACCAAGATTTCTCATGGGAAATTCTTGGGTGTAACAGAAACACTTGTGAATTGGTGACCAACTTTTAATTTAAATAAGGAACTGGAATTGTGGTTCAGTATATTGGTACGGGAAATCAACAGAAATTACCTGAATAGTCTGAACGATAAAGTAAAATATCATCTCAAAATTCTGAATGAGTCATTGTAAAAATTACACATTGTGTAGTAAACAAATAATAAAAAGTTAAGCAAATTTTAATGTATTTTCATCAAATTTTACAGCTAAAAGAGTTTGAAATTCTGTTATACAAACATCTTGTACTGTACATATGCATCTAAGTGGACTTCTATTTTCTTTCAGATGAAACAAAACAGCTTTATAGTTCTAGTTGGAGTCATTTTACAGCTATTTACAGCAGTCTCATATAGCTGACAATAGGGGTAGATTAGTTTGTAATTTATGGGGGGTTTTAATATTGAGGTAAGGAGGAGTTGAAATGAAAAGACTAGCAACTTTTTTTACATAAAACAACAAGTAAAACAGCAAAACTGTATTTGGGACAAGACTATGTCTCGGAGACTCACTACTAAGTGGAATCACATTCTCATTCTCCAACCTTCTTTCATATCACTGCTTTTGGATGCGATTGTTCAAACTTTGCCGGCCACGGCCACGAGGTTGTCCATGATGCATTTTTGATGAAATTAACCTATCCAATTTCAAAATTTCTCTCCGTTGCGTGTCGGCTCGGGTTGAATTTTTGTCGATGCGTAACGAAAATTTTCCGTTTTTGGAAAAAATAATCGTGGCTATTGTATTGTCTGAAATTATTTTTTTTATTTTGCACAAACAATATACAGTTTAACCCCATTATAATATAATCAGATGTAACGACAACCCTAATATAACATCAAATTTTTATCGGTCCCACGATTTTATTATACTAGATAATGTTAAAAAAAACCCAACTTGTAACGACATAAAACTGTTTAACATCATATTTGAAGCACTCCCAAATTTACAAAATTAGATTACAAATTTTATTTAACATAGAAAAAACTGTGTGTTTAGTCCTAAGGTCAGAGTTCACTTCTTAGAACAACT